GAAGAAACAGAACTAAAACAACTGTAAAACAAGTAACAAAATGGCAATAAGTACATACTTAATAATTACTTTGGGGTGTTTTGTTTTTTAAAGATTTTACTTAGAGCACGCAAGAGCAAGCACAAGTGGGTGAGGAGCAGAGGGAGAAGCAGACTCTCCCCTGAGTAGGGAGCCCAACATGGGGCTCGATCCTGGGACTCTGGGATCATGACCTTAGCCGAAGGCACACACTTAACCAACTGAGCTACCCAGGCCACCCCAGTAATTACTTTGAACGTAAACGGACTAAATTCTCCAATGAAAGACATGGGGTGACGGAAAAAAGCAAGACCCATCTATATGCTACCTACAAGAGATTTATTTCAGACCTAGACACATACAGAGTGAAAGCGAAAGGATAGAAAAACATTTACCATGCAAATGGAAGTGAAAAGAAAGCTGGTGTAGCAATATTTATATTGGAACAAATAGACTTTAAAATGAACGGTGTAACAAGAGACAAAGAAGAACACTACATAATGATAAAGGGAACAGTCCAGTAAGAGGATATAACAATTGTAGAAATATATCCACCCAAAGTGGAAGCACTGAAATATATAAAGCAATATTAACAGACATAAAGGAAGAAATGGGCAGTAATACAATAATAGTAGGGGACTTGAACAACCTACTTACATCGATGCATAGATCATTTAGACAGAAAATCAACAAGGAAACAGTGGCTTTGAATGACACATTGGATCAGATGGACCTAAAAGATATATTCAAAACATTCCACCCAAAAACAGAATACACATTCAAGTGCACATGGAACATTTTCCAGAAGAGATCACATGTTAGGCCACAAAACAAGTCTCAACAAATTCAAAAAGGTTGAAATGATTTCAGGCATTTTTTCCAACCACAAAAAATCTGGAAAGAGCACAAATACATGAAAACTAAATAACATGCTATTAAACAAAGAATGGGTCAACCAAGAAATCAAAGAGGAAATCAACAAATACATAGAGACAAATGAAAATGAAAACACAGTGGTCCAAAATCTTTGGGATGCAGCAAAAGCTGTTCTAAGAGGGGAGTTTATAGCAACACAGCCCTACCTCAAGAAGCAGGAAAAATCTCCCATATCTTAACCTTATATCTAAAGGAGCTAGACAAAGAGGAAGAAAGCCCAAAGCCAGTACAGAAAGCAAAGGTTAGAGCAGAAATAAATGAAATAGAGACTAAAAAAGTGGAACAGATGAATCAGGAGCTGGTTCTTTGAAAAGATCAGGAAAATTGATAAATCTTTAGCCAGACTCAACAAAAAGGACTCAAATCAGAAATGAAGGAGAAAGAACTGACACCACAGAAATACAATAGATGAGAGAATATTATGAAAAATTATATGCCAACAAATTGGACAACCTAGAAGAAATGGATAAGTTCCTAGAAACCTAACCTTCCAAGACTGAATCAGGAAGAAATAGAAAATCTGAACAGACCACTTACTAGCAATGGAACTGGAAGGCAGTTTTGCTCACCACTACACCATCAACAATGCCACTAGCAATGACATTGAATCAGTAATTAAAAAAAACTTTCAACAAGGGGCGCTTGGGTGGCTCAGTCTGTTAAGCATCTGACTTTCGATTTCGGCGCAGGTCATGATCTCAGGGTTGTGAGATTGAGTCCCGTATGGGGCTCCGTGCTGAGCGTGGAGCCTGCTTAAGATTCTCTCTTTCCCTCCCTCCCTGACTTGCACATGTCCAGGTGCTCTATCTCTAAAAAAATAATAATAATAATTAAAAAAAAAAAACCAAACTCTCAACCAAAAAATGTCCAGGACCAGATGGCTTCACAGGTGAATTCTACCAAACATTTAAAGAAAAGTAGGGGTACCTGGGTGGCTCAGTTGGTTAAGCATCCAGCTCTTGATTTCAGCTCAGATCCTGATCCTCGGGGTGGTGGGACTGATCCCTGAGTCAGGTTCCATGCTCAGAGGGGAGTCGGCTTCTCTCCATCCGCCCCTCCCTCCACTCACACTCTCTTTCTCTCTAAAATAAATAAATCTTTAAAAAATATTAAAAACATAATTACCATATGATCCAGTAATTTCACCACTGGGTATTTACCCAAAGAAAAGAAAATGAAAACACTAATTTGAAAATATATATGTACTCCTATGTTTATTGCAGGATTATTTATAATAGCCAAGATATCGAAGCAGCCCACGTCCACTGATGGATAAAGAAGATGTGCTATGTATGCACAATGCAATCTTACTCCGCCATAAAAAAAGAATAAAATCTTGCCATTTGCAGCAACATGAATGGACCTAAAGGGTATAATGCCAAGTGAGATAAATCAGAGAAAGACAAATACCATATGATTTCACTCACATGTGGAATTTAAGAAACAAAATGAACAAGAGAGAGACTGTTAAGAACGGAGAACAAAGGGGAGGTGGGTGGGGGGATGGGTGGAAGAGCTAAAGGGGATAAAGAGTACACTTGAGCACTGAGAAATGCACGGAATTGTTGAATCATTGTACTGTGCACCTGAAACTAACAGAACACTGTGTGGGAACTATGCGGGAACACTAGAAAACCCGCCACTGGAGCGCGGGGGCACAGCGACCCCCGAGTTCCAGTAAACGTCTAAGTCCTCCTGTAAGTCCTGAAGGTTATTTTCTTTCCTGTTAATAACCTTTCCACATCCAAACATTTTCAGGAATTTCATTCTCCAAACTGTTTTTGGATTGGTAAGGATTTCACAGATAACATTGGCCGACTTAATGCTCAAAAGAATCCAGGTGCACCTGCTGAGGAACGATAGAAGCTGGCAAACCATACTTCACCTGCAAGGTGAACTAAGGGATCTTTCCAGTATAAGTAAAATGTGGTAATGTAATCTATACACACAGCTTCTGTTAACAGTTAAAGGGAAGCAAAGCCATATATCTAAAATTTACACTAAAACGGTTTTAAGAATTCTCTATTTTAACCAATTTTTACACTGTATGTTTAGCAGGATATGCTTTATGAAGAACTATTCCCCCTTTCCATTTTATCTGTGATAACTAATAAAATGGGACCATGGTCAGTATACTTAGGAGTAACAATGGGCTAACATTCTCCATGTAACAATGAAATAATAACCTATAATGCTTAGCATGTTGCTAACGCACGGGCGGATGGGATCTGAGGCCTCACGTGATCATACATAAGGGAGGACCGAGGCCATTTGACTATGCCTCTGCTTTGCCAAGTGCAAAATACTTAACATGTTGAATTGTGTCTGATTTAAAAGGATGGGGCCGGGGCACCTGGGTGGCTCAGTCGTTAAGCGTCTGCCTTCGGCTCAGGTCATCGAGCCCCGCATCGGGCTCCCTGCGCGGCAGGAAGCCTGCTTCGCCTCTCACGCTCCCCCTGCTTGTGTTCCCTCTCTCGCTCTGTCAAATAAATAAATAAAATCTTAAAAAAATAAAAAAAGATGGGGCCGTTAATAAGTCTGGTTGAGGTGGCTCCCATTCTTATCCATCCATCTTAGTGTCTGGATTTAGGCCTGACATCATACATTTAGTGTTATCAGTTTGGAATCAGGGTGAGTTTGGTAGAAAACTGGAGTCCTGGAAGGAACCTCATTTTCTCTGCTGATAATGGCTAACCCAGTAGTAACGTCATGGTGCCCTGGCCTTTTCTCCTTGTTCCTTTTCCCTCGGCTGTACAGCACGCACACAGAGGTTTTATGAAAGAATGTCTTTCATTTACCCAACAGTATCCATATCCAGGTTCTTAGAGTAGGCACCATCCCTACTCCTTCCTAATCAAATCCATCCACCACCCGATGTCTCCTTATTGCTTTTTTATTGAAAGGCTGAGATTGCTTAATGGGGAGATGTCAAAATTCTAAATTAAAATATTTCATTAGAAATGTTTACTGAAATAATAGGCCAGGAAGAAAGCCTTTAGTTACAAGATAGTGGTCTTTTGGAGATTACAGCCTGCCATTGCTTTGTACTTTCCAAACCTGACGTGGGTTTAAAACTTTTATCTTTTTCTGCCGGCCTGGAATAGTAGGATCATCTGGGGTGTTCTCAGGCATTTCAACCCATCGTCAAAACACACATCAAACATGGGATTAACCAAAATATAGCAAAGGAGTTAATTATGGGGTGTATGCGTGTGTGTTAAAAGTACTGATGAAAACTAAGCATTTAGCACAGGGCCTGACCACACAAAGTAAATTCTCGGTAAAGCTTATCAAGCAATACTAGCAGGTGACCTCCACTAACAACCATCAAATTAGTAGATGATGTCTGGTTAGTAAGTTCAGTTATCAGCCTGACAACTGATTTTAATCAGGGTTGTTGCTCCCCTGGAAATTAGAACCGTATCAGTATTTTATAGATTGTTTCAGGCAAAATACTCAGAGAAGCTTGTTTACTTACTTGGACCAAGGTTGGTTGACTTGTTTCAAGGATGCATTTACTTCACAGACACCAACAAACCAGCAAGAGGGGAGAGCTTAGCGGGAGGTGTACTTTGAGAGTTCCGCGGTCACCAGTGAACGTTAGCGGGGCACTGATAGAACTCAGTCCACCGGCCCTTCGCAGCCCCGGTCTCAGGAAATTGTCCTCCCTAAACAGAAATCCCGTCGTGGTTTCTAAACGGAATACTACGGATGATCACACTCTTCTACACTGACTGCAGCTGGGAGCAGACATTAGGCCTAGATTTATTTTACTGCCTGACACAGCCTTTTTCTTTTCCTCATGACAATTTCAGTCTCTACGAGTCCATTAATAAATCTGAGAACTCTTTCTAAAAATAAAAATGGGGCCATAATAACCCTATCTCACCCAGTGTCATAAATAGTGATTTTCCTGTCCTTAGTGTAATTCAACAATGGGACACAGAAGTTGGGAGATTTCAGTTACGTCAGCACGTCTTTACACATTGGTTTGGTTGATTTGTTGTTTTTTTTTAAACGACTGTAAAATATTTCCTGTCTCACAGGCAAGAGTCGGAAGCCTGGCCTTCTCTCTGTCAAGTCGTCGGCGGAGTCCAGCTTAAAGTCTTTCAACAGGAACGAGCTGGGCAACTACCCAACCCTGCCTTTAACGAAGTCCGCCGACGCACTGAAGCAGGGGGAGACGGCCAGGCTGGGCAGTGGTCTTACCCCGCACGCTTCCAAGTGCTGTGAGCAGCCGTGGGGCACTGGTTTGAACCAAAACCGAAGAAGCCTCCCTGTTGCCATCTGTCGGAGCTGTGAGACCCTGGAGGGCCCCCCGACTGTGGAAACTTGGCCCCGATCCCACTCCCTGGATGACCTTCAAGGAGAGCCTGCTGCTGAGAAGGATGTGCCTGGCGAGGTGACGGACCCCTCCCCTCAGACTGTACCACAAGTGCCACAGAAGACAACCCCCTCCGTCGCAAAGGTTCAAAGCCCCAAACGAGGTCCTGCTGTTGACCATGCACTGCTACTGACCCAAAGCAAGAGAGGTTCTGAGCCTCCGAAGACAGCTACTAAGAAACCGGATGGCTCCATAGCCTCTTCGCGTGGCGCATCACCTCCTCCGTGTTTGCCCAAAAACTACGATGCTCAGCCTCCTGGAGTTAAACACACTTTAACAAGGACGCCTCTGGAGGGTCACAGGAAAGGACTCGATTTTGAAGGCACATGTTCCCCCCCGGGCACCAAAGAAGGCCTAGAGGCCGAGCCGAGGGGCCCCGAGGCAAGAACACAGGCAAAGCATCCTGCCCAGCCTCCGCCCGTTCCTGCCAAGAAGAGCCGAGAGCGCCTGGCCAACGGACTCCACCCTAGCCCTCCTGGCCCCGACGCGCCAAGCCTGCCCGCGAAGAGGGGCAGCCCCGGTGACTGTCACTCGCCTCCGGCTTCCAGGCCTCCCTCGGGACAGGAGCCTGGCAGCCCCCCGAGCACAAGACCACCGCCCTGGCTCTCCGAGCTCCCGGGGAGCACAAGCCTCCAGGAGCACGGCGTGAAGCTGGGCCCGGCTCTGACCAGGAAGATCTCCTGCGCTCGGGGAGTGGATCTGGAGATGCTCACGGAAAACAAGTTACGAGCTGAAGGCATCGATCTCACCGAGGAGCCATATTCGGATAAGGTACCAAAGGCCTTACGGGCCTCTGCTTCTTTAAGTCAGGCAGCCAGGTGAGAAGAGCCGCCCAGGGACCCCACGGAGCCCGCCTGGCTGCAGGGGCCCTGCTGACGGTGGGGGGCGGGGGGGCGCCAAGCCGGGCCCTCTGCTGCCGGGTGCCAGGTGCTGGGATGAATGGGAGCCATGTCCAGATGAAACACAGATACAGCCTTGGACTTCTCCTTTCTCTTTTTTTCCCCTCTTCTTTTGCTTATTTTTAATTTCTGGCGGCCGTACTTTGCAGGGAGGGCTGTCAAGCAGGACTACAACTGGTTCCAGAAAGGGCTGGCTTAGTGGACAGTCCTAAATTGCAGTTTCCATGTTCTGTTGAACCTGTATGTTTGTAGATGTTAACAAATCCCCATTTCATTTCCTGTTTGTAAAATGGGATTCATAATCTGCATAACTACCTTCTGCAGGTATTACTGGGAGCAAATAAATGTGAACACACTTTGAAAATTACAGAACCCCTTTCAGATGTAATTATATCGTATAGTTATCTGTATGAGTAACGGGGAATGATTATGAGATCTCCCACTGTACCAAAAACACTGCGAAAACTCATTTAAACTCATATAATGAAAACTCACTGCTTATTTGGAAAAAAAAAAAAAGAGTAGATCTACCAATACCAAAATGATTTTGAAGACAAATGATAATAGATGTAGCTGTACATTATTCCTAGAAATGCGTACTCTGTGATAATGCATTCCTGGGAGTCTCGGTTATAAAATTCTTTGGACCACAAATGCCTTACAGTACGATCCTCCACCCCTTGCTCCTCCTCCGTGATACTCAGTGAGCAAACCCCTCAGAATGGAAAGTGGTGAGAACTGTTCTGTACCTAAGTGCCGGCCTCGGGCCTGGTGGTGTAAAAGAGATGCGACGCAACAGTGGGCTCCCCGTAGGGCGCACGTGTGCCCTGCTCCCCTGCAGCTTAGGAGACCGCAAGATGATCCGCTGGAGTGAGGTGAGGTCCTTGGCTCAGATAATACAAGACGATTCTGTTCCGCTTTACTTAACGTTTCAAAACATTTTCCTAGAGCTCATCAGTACCAGAAGGATCCAAGTGTAAACACATTCTCTCTAAAACATCCATCCTGACTACAGGTATATTCACTTCAAATGAAAACTTGGTGATGCTTTCCAGTAGCTGCCGGTGCCTTGTGTTTGCTGCTGTTGAAGAAACAATTCCCTGCATTCCCTGATGCCACGTTTTTGTTCTCCCCTGCAGCACGGCCGCTGTGGGATCCCTGAAGCCCTGGTGCAGAGATACGCCGAGGACTTAGATCAGCCCGAGAGGGACGTCGCCACCAACATGGACCAGATCCGCGTGAAGCTGCTGCGGAAGCAGCACCGCATGGCGGTGAGCGGCGGGCGCTTGGGGTCCCCTCTCCCCCCCCCCAGCTCGGCTTTTGAGTCCATTTAGTTAGAGCACTGAACGATGAGCACGCTGGCAACCACTAAGTAGGCCTGGGCTCACGGCTGCTATCGAAAGGAGACACCTGGAGGGAAAGGAATACATAGCCTACAGTTTGAAAAATACAGTTTTGGAAAGAAGGAAAAATGAAAATGATCCATAATCCTAGCACTGTGAAAAAGTTTTTAAAAATCTCGTCTAGTCAGTTCTCTGCACATAACAATAAGTGTAGTTTTGAAACCCGTTTTCAGTGATCAGATCGTGAATCTGTTACCGAACATTCATTTGTCTTATCAATATGTCAAAATGCTCTAGTAAATGTACCCTCATTTAGCCAATCCTCTATTGTTGAAACATTTAAATTTTTCCCCAACTTACTATTTCAAAAAATGTAGTAAAGAACTCCCTTGTTAATATATAATAAATCTTTGTATAGACTCCCAAGGTTAATTTCTGAGTGTATATATTGCTTTAAGGGGGTTGGCTTACACAAGCCTGCACAAGATCTCAAGGGATTTGCACACTTGTTAGTAGACTGCCTTCCTGAGAGAGAAGTACTTGGTCTTTTCACAAGTTGAGTGTAAATGTCCACTTCCCTGCCCTAGCCAACACTTGGTATTATTGTAATTTCCTTATAACTACATTGATGAAATAGTTAATTTTCTGGTTAATGTAGATTCAAAGTACAGTGGAAAATCTGTTTTATAAAAACTCTGCCCACGGAGTGTCTTGCCTGCCACACTACCACACGGGCCTGCCTCCTGAAGCACCCAGGGATTTCCTTGACGAGCAGGTCACCAGGAAACAAAATAGCAGGGTCTAGAAATGCTTACAGTTTGGAGACTTGGGGACAGTCTTAGGGTTAGATCTAATTCCAAGTACTTTCTAGAACCTGAAAAACTTCCTTGAAGATATGTCTCACCTTTGAGAAGCTGAGAAAGAATTCTTGAGGCTCCTCTTGGTCTTTGACATCTCATGGCCCGAGTACTTTCTAATAGTCTGGCAGGGTAGGATTGGAGTCGTGTTCCTTTTGGGTATAGAAGGAGCCCTCCGGCACCCTATGTCAGGTCTTTATAAAATTGCTTTCTTTATTTGTCCAGATCCCAAGTGGTGGGCTCACAGAAATCTGTAGAAAGCCCCTCTCTCCCGGATGCGTTTCGTCTGTGTCCGACTGGCTGGTCTCCATCGGTCTGCCCATGTACACCAGTGCTCTCACCGAAGCCGGGTTCAGCACACTGGGCCAAGTGCCTTCTCTGTCCCACACTTGCCTTCAGGAGGCCGGCATCACGGAGGAGAGACACATAAGCAAGCTCGTGTCTGCAGCCAGACTCTTCAAACTGCCACCAGGCCCCGAGGCCATGTAGCCAGGCCCGTAACAGAGCTCCCTGGACCAGAGCCACCCTTTCACTGTGCTTATGCTAATGCAATTCCTCCTCCTCGGGACATGCAGACCAGATCCAGAAGAAAGGCCCAGTGTATGGCCACACAGAGCACGAAACCTTGGCACGGGACTGATGACCCTCTCTTCTCCAGAAAAGCCCCCTTGAGGACATTGGTGTGGTTCTCTTTGACCCCCAAAGAAAAGACAAGCACTTAGTTTTATTTTCAGAACACAGAAGAACCAGGATGCCAACTTGCCACACATGCTGTGCCTCCAGTCTGTCTTGGTGCGCTGGGAGAGGGCTGGGAGCAGAGGGAGGGGCAGCCGGTTTCGCTTCTGAGAACGCCCTTGCCCTTCCGTCTGTCACCCTGCAGGATACCTGAGGGCCAGACGGGCTTCAGCTAGGCCAAAGTGACAGACTCGGGAGTTCATTGGACACTATTGACCATGCCTGTTTGTTCAAAAGTAAGAAAATCTGGCTGCACTAGGGAAAAAAAGAAAAAGTCCTGTTCTCCTTCAAGTAAACAAGAGACATTTTAATAATTGCTTTCTAGCAATCAGCTTTTATTTGCCTTAACGTAAGCTTTGAAGCAGTTATCCTAGTGTTCACTACCCTGTAACCATAGTTTCCAGTCTTCAGCTTAGACTGCCATCTAACATGTGAGATGTTTTCAGCAAAACAAAACAAAACAAAAATGGGCTTTTCTAATTGCCTCACTCTAACATGGCTCATTTTGTAGGGGTTTATCAGGCACAAAGTTCATGTTGGCTTTCAGTTCTTACACTAACCACAAATCCAGTAAGAAGCTATCTGAAATTCCGAGATCAGGTGTGTATGTGAGTGTGCATGCATGTGCGTGCGTGTGTGTATGTGTGTGTATATAGTAACTACCTTCACTCTAATCAGTTTAGTTTTGTTTACCACGTTGGTCATCGAGCTGCAGGATTGACTTGGACTCCTGACCACGTCCATCCCAAAATTCAGTTGTCAGCTAACAGATTAGCTTTGCAAAGTCATTGTAAGGTTGAATATTTCAGAGAGATGTTTTTAAAAGGGAAGCAGTTTATAAGATATTTTAAAAGGTTTTTTTTTTTCCACTTTTATAATTCAGGTATCGTTCTCCTTCCTTATTGAGATAATTCTTTTAATTTGGATGAAAGTTCACTTTGGAGCCAAACCACGTTAGCCATGTATTAAGTTAACATTTGTCTATTTTCAATTGTTTTCCAACTGATTGTAGTGTTTTCCATCCTCTTTTAGTCTGGTGTCTGATTTTTCTAGCACATAAGAAATTTAGGCCACTAAATTAAGGTTTCTGTTGCTTACTAAATGAGTTTCCTTTACATTCTTAATCATGAGAACTATTTTAAGCACTGAATGTGATCATTTGCAATAGAAACATTCTGAACACAAAGCCTTGATCAAAAGCTCTTAAACATTTCATCTACTCATTAAAACGATTTCCCTCGGGGGGTGGGGGGGAGTGATTTCATTTATAAAGCCATCTTCAGCATTTGCTCTCTGTACTTGGATCCAAGTTTCTGAGGAAAGGAATGTTCTCAGGTGATATATTTTTTCATGCTTTGGTACACATTTAAAAAATAAATGTCTCTTCAACAATAATAGTCACCTTCTATAAGATGCCATGTGAAGAAGTTGTGGAAATGCAGAATAAAAAGCTCAAGCTGCCAATTTTCTACTGAAATCTTAAGAACGGCCCATCTTTGCCACGTCGGGTTGTGCGCACAGCCCCCGCGGAGTGTAACTCGGCCGCAGGGCTACCTGTGACCACGCGCGGAGGCGTCTCACGCTGTGGTGGCCGTGGGTGCGAGGACACGCTCCGCATCCTGCTGCCCAGTGCCTTGGCCTGACCTGCGATCCTGCTCATCGTTTAAGCTGACCACACCCAAGTCACGAAATCTCGGTAATAGAGGAAGAAGAGAAATCTCAGTGTTAGTTCATTTTCAGCGTAAGATTTCCATTTCAGTAAAAGTGGCACCAGAAAAGGGAACGTTCTGGAGTTGAGTTTTTTAAGAATGCCAAACCATATTTTTGTCACTCTTCTTTGGAAGTCATCACCTTTGCATAGAAAAATCAAATTCAGGGACCATGAATGATTTTCAGCAGGAAGATCTTCCTGATAGGGGGTCTGATGAGGTTTTTACTTCATTGTGCTTTAAAAACAAAAAACAAAAAAACAACAAAAAAACCCTTTTTAAAATTGTTAGTATTTGTTTGGTCTTCTTTTGCTTTAAACTTTTAATTTGATCCTAGAAAAGTCTGAATGTGTGTGAGTGACATTTGACTACGGTGGTTTCGGGGCTGCCTGTCAGAAGACAGGTGTTAGGCTTCAGCAATATCCGGTTTTAATCAGTTGCACTTGGTACCGAATGTTGAGGAAGGGTGAAAAGTGTAGTCTTTGGAAAGCACAAAAGAAACCTAGAAAGGCAGTTTGGCTCAGGTAGCTACACATCCGTTGTGTGTAATTTTTACTTTAAAGCTGTCTAGAGGAAATGCAGCCAGCCCCAACTACTATTTACATTCCCAGATAACCAAGAAGCAGGTGGATTTTCATGGCCTTCCCTTAGCAGCCCTTTTTCTCTGTCCTGATCCCTGGTGTGGGTGAAATTGGAAATTACTAGTCTATTGCAAACCAGTTCCTGACATAGCAAAATTTGCTTTCATGACTGCAGCAAAAGAAATCCGTTCACCAAGTCAGTGCTGCATGCATGTACTGTATTATTTTCAGAAAATATAGTAGTCTTGAGTCCGAGTTATCTTGATTTTAAATTGAGAGAGAAAACAAACTGTCAAGTTATATAACAACTAACAACATTGCACTTTCTGTATATGAAATCAATATTTAAATAACTTATTTTTCTCCATTGCTGTTCTTAAACATTGTAAGTAGCTGTAATATACCAGTCCCAATATGTCCTTGCGATTGCTTCAGCCCAGGAAAGCTGTGTATTGTTTTAAAAATTGTAAAAATTATTGTGATGATTCACTTAGCAGAGAGAAAGGTGGACAGAAAGGTTTTCCTATGTATCAAGACTTGTCTATAATTATGTCATCTATGTACCTAGAAAAAAAATAAATTTCTTCAGTTGACGATGCCTCTTTTGTTCCTTGGTATTTCAAAGATGAACGGAGTAGAAATGAAAGATAATTTACAAAGTTTATACAAGCATTTGAAGACAGTTACTTCTGCCGCATCATCATTTAAAACTCGTTAACACACACTCATTCTCTTTGCCAGTTTATTGTTTTTTCCCCAAATACCGCATAATCAAATCCTATAACCACAGCATCTTAGACCAGAAGGAATTTTGGAAGTCATCTGTAGTCTAAGGCCATCACTTTTCAAATGAAGAGCCTGAGTCCATGTAGGTGGTCGACTCGCCCAGTATCATACAGTTACATGGTAACAAAACCCCAAATTTTAATTGCGAGAAAAAAATCTAGGTTGAGATCTTACAGAAATTGACTGACTTGGCAAAAATAATTTTTCAATATTGGTGTATCACAATTGATACAAAAGCATTTTTAATTAGGAGGGGCTGTGTAATAAGAAAATTTGGGTAATACCCACACTTGAGATTAAAAAAAAAAAATCACCCTCTTCCTTCCTCCCAGCCACCTATTTCTGCCACTGCAGGTGAACAGTAGAACCTGTTTGCATATCTTTTCAGAACTGCTCCATTTACAATTATAACTGCTTATGTAGTTTTCCAAACAGGAATGGTGGCATATTCTTCACACTTCTTCACCTTGATTTTACATTCACTGCATCTTGGAGATCTTTTCATGTCACAACTCCTCCATTCTCTTAAAGGCTACATAACATTGTTATGCCAATAATTTAATCACTACTCAGTGGAAGGACCGTATCTCGCAGTTACAAAAAAGCCGTTAGGAATACCCTTGTACCTACGTCACCTAGCACGTGGAACTGTGTTAAAATTACGTGTATTTTAGATTTTGATAGAATATTTTAAATCCACTGGTGGATTTCATTAAAGGAAGTTTTACCATGATAGGTTTTATTTCTTACTCTCTATCCCCTAGTCCATTTTGTAAGTGGGGATATTTCACATATTGTCAGTGTGGGGGTTCATCTGAAGCGCACCGTTTTAAAGAACCGTGAGTCTCCAAGGTTACCTATCTCACACCGACTCCTAAAATTCAGTTCAATTCAAAGAAGATACTTTTTTCTTGTGATCCCCAAGAAACCTTGACCCAACCTTGGTGGTAGGTGTTTGTTCTAGGGGCAATGCATATATGGATACTTATGTTACATTCACTTAGAAGTTACAAAGCACATACATTTGATTAGGGCCTGGAGAAAACGGAAGGGTGGCTGTCGTTCTCCAGCCACGGGAACCATTCTGGAGACCTCAGAACGAAGGCTCTCTTATTCTGAGCTAGGAGGACCCACTCAGAGCACACTACGCAGTCCTTCCTTGGAGGATGTGTGAGCCTGAGAGGCACGATGCATACCCGCTCAGCCGTAGTCAGGATGGCAGCTTTATTTGCAAGCATCCCCCACACACGCCCCGCCCAACACTACACCAGAGAAAGGGCATTTAGCTGTTTGCTCTCGTGCCCTTTAACAAGCACCTGAAGGCCCTAATCAAACCATGTTTGAATCCAATGTGGAAAGACCCCGGGATGTGTGTGGGAGCCTCAGCAGTTAAGACCAAGCTGATTGGACTTTACCACCTTCCCGTTCATTCTCAACACCTGGGTAATGAATACGGTCCCAGCCGTGAGAGAAATGTGTGCGAAGAGCTGTGGGAACCAGAGGAGAAACGGACTCAGTCGAGGAGAGAAAAAGGTCAGAGGAGGTAGCTAATGTGAGTTATAACTGGGTGCCCGTGTGCTAAGAGCATTAGACTCAGAAACACAAAGTCTTGAAAAGCACGAGAAAATAACTGAGAAATCATTTCCTGTATCTCCAGACTCCTGATCCACTTGCCTCTCATCCTGACTGGGTATCTTTTCCTCCATTCAATAGAACACCTGGAAAACCATCCGTTGGGCCTCCTCTCTGGACCTTCTTGGGGCACAATTGCAAACTCCCCCATATTCTCACCTCATTTTTCCTCCTCACTCCAGCCATGACTATAGAGAGGTGTCCCTCCAACTGTCTAATCCTTCTGCTCTTGCTCAGGATCCTGTCCGGGGACCCCCTCAGCCATCACACATTCCCTCACTTCTCTGTAGCTTCCCCTTGAACATGTTTGCCAGCCGGGGGCTTTGCTTTCCAGGCCTATCCAAACTCCCCTTTTTTGGATAATCACACTGCATTTCCGTTGGGAGAACTGCAGTCCTCACATTTCAGGGGCTCCTGGTACAACCTTTAGTCATGGTGTCCCCCAGGCCTCTCCCAGTGGCGAGGACAGCTCTTGCCAGGCCATTCAGCCTCCATTACCACAGAACTGGGCTCTGGAGTTCAATGTCAGGCACAGAGGAGCATTGGAACTGAATTGTCTAAACGTGGTGCCCAGGAAGCTCAGCAGTCGAGGTCTTCCTGTTCTTTCCAAAGCTTGTTCAGCCTTTCTTTTGTTTGATTCCTTATGCCATTGGCAATCAAACATCTCTTCTCAGGCACCCCTAACATTCGAAAACTAAAGACTCCCATTTTGAACTTCCCAATGAAGCAATATTAATAGAGGTGTATGGGCAAGGCTAAAGCTACAACTTGGCCCCAAGTCCTCCACTGACAGAGCCCATCCATCTCCAGCCACTCACCACCCCTCTTTTGAATTAGGCTGATGTTGAAGGGGGCAGACGCCTCCTGTGCATCCCCAACTGATGGTGAGCGTAGAGTCGTTAATATCATTCTGGGCTGGGAGGAAAAAATCAAACTTATGATAAACTGGCTAAGGAGAATCCACACGTGGGTTCTGAAGAGCTGACTGTGGTCCCTGGGGTACCCTAGGGATCATCAGCAATTTGAAAATATGTGCTGTAAGCCTGTCTTTAAGGTGCAATGGGAGATGCAAGGTAGTGGTGTGTACAACACCTAAGCACAGAGAGATTTTAATCTCATCAGGGGAACAGGTCATGTGAAATATGGAGAGGACTGAAAATAAGGAGATAGCGTGGCTCTTCCATGAGAACAAAACACAACTGGACCAGCAGAGAGAAGAGTGGTTTCTTTCCTGTCCTGCGAGTAGGCATTTCGAGCATCCACTCCCCCCCGTTATTTGGGAGGATTCCTCCTGGCGTGTGAGGTGCATAGGCTGGAGTGCCCCTCGGCCCCCTGCCCACAGCATGCGACGCAACTCAGGCTGCATAAGCCGGCCTGATGCTCCGCCTGGGTCGGGATCTAGACCTACCAACGCAAAGACCTGCGCACAAATCGGGCTAAGGGTCGACAGTGGGATGCTACCTGGCCGGGATGTCCTGGCCTTGCTGCCTCTGCCCAAGACCCACCGTGGCTTCCTGCTTTCCAGCCGCGGCACCTACCTGGGTTCCGGTCTGTTGGCTGGTCGCCCGGTCTCCTGCTGACCCTCCAGCGCCCGTGACCCTGTCTCCTAAAGCTGTTTTCTGTTGCTTTTACCAAGAATACGGACTTCTGTTAACCTTAAAAATAAAACTGCCAGGTATTTTACCGGCAAAAGATGGGTCTACCTGGGAATAGGAGAGAACTGCAATCCAGGACAAACACACTGGGGCAAAACCATGGGCAAGTGCTTAGCATAAAGGAGATGGATGCTCTTCTACAGAGAACAGCGGAGGTGTTGCGAGCAGAGTCCATTGGAGAAACTGGGAGTTGGAAGCATAGCGGCTTCTCATTGGCTGGGCTGTTGCCAGGGGAAGAGCAAAGCCTTTCTTCCCCTCGCTGGGTAGTAAAGGAGTTTGCACCTCCAAGGTGCATCCCTTCCCGTTGAATTTGCAGTTAGCTGCGAGCAGCAGGGCCTGGGAGCCCTCCTTTGCTAAACCTCCCGGCCCCATCCTCGTGAGGTTTCCTTTAATTAATTTTCACACTTCCAAGGCCATCCTATTTGTAGGACAATTCCTCATTTCTACTATATTACTAGCTTTCTGAAAATCAGAAGTGTGCTTATTTACCTTTCCTGGCCTCAAGAGTTCTTAACACTGACAGCTCTTCAGGAACGGTGTAGCTAACTAGAAAACAAACAAACAAACAACTAAAGGCATCAAATGAAGACTCTTTTTGTGTCTGTGTGTTTTACTCCTGGCATTGTGGTAGACACCCGATTCAGTATTGTTGAAGGAATCTTGCCTTTGAGTCACATTAAATTCCACTTCTTACGTGGAATTCCTCGGGGCTTCGGGCAAGTCACTTAATCTCCCCGGGCCTTAGTTTCCTAGCTTGCAAGCCAGGACAATAATTCCTACCTCGTTGGACTACTGTAAAAACTAAATGAGACACTGAAATGGGAGATAAGTCTTTTCAACAAATGGTGCTAAAACAACTGATACCCACTTGTGAAAAACTGAAGTCAGCCCCTACCTGCTGCACATCATATACAAAGATGACCTCAAAGTGAATCATAGACCCAAATGTAGAAGCTAAAACTAGAAAACTCTTACGAGAAATATGGAAGTAAATCTTCATGACCTTGGATTAAGCAAAGGATTTTTGGAGATGATAAAGAAAAGCACAAGCAACAAAAGAAAACATACATAATTGGACTTCATCAAAATTAAAAAGTCTTCTGGGTCAAAGGACACCATCAAAAAAAAAAAAAAAAGGAAAGAAAAGGTAAACCATAGGAGAATATATCTGTAAATATAAGAAATGTAATGCTTTTTTTTTTTTTTAAAGATTTTATTTATTTATTCATGAGAGACAGAGAGAAACAGAGGGAGAAGCAGGCTCCCAAGGAGCGGGAAGCCCGATGCCGGACTCGATCCCAGGACCCTGGGATCATGACCTGAGCCGAAGGCAGATGCTTAACCATCTGAGCCACCCAGGCGCCCAAAATGTAATGCTTTTAACTAAGAGGATGCTGATTGCAACAAAAACAAACTACCGTCCCAGCTATTTGCTATTAGCTTGTTAGACTCCCCATGCCTTGTCCAGCACCATCTCATTTGTAACATTATGCTGGCTTCAGGTGGGCTCCAGAATAAAA